CGATGAGAAGTCCCAACCACTCTCAAATGCACTCCAAATGCCATTAAGAATTTCTATTCTATCTTGTTCACTAGAGTCTTCTATCAGCTCACTATCAAAATAATACGAGTAAGGTCGCGGACGATCACCGGGAACAAAATATCTAAGTACCGTATAATTTTTGCCGTCCTTTGTAATGTTAAATGATCGTTCAGTAGACCAAAAGTTGATTTCTGTTTCTAAGTATTCGATATTGTTCCTGATAAATTCTATATCATTAGTGTGACTGTAATAAGTAGCAACCATCTCAGTCAACAATGGCGGCTGACTGTGTCTCTCATAATACCATCTGTTTCCAGCGGGTACGTATCCTAACTTATCTACAAGTTCGAAAAGATTCTCAATTACTCCTTTTGCACTTTCTTGCATTCCACTTACTAGCAAACCTTTGACAATCCAATAAGAGTCCCAGTAATACATCTCTGTGAACAACCCTCCGGGAGTAAAGAATCCATGAGTGACAGGAATTAATCTATAGCGATCAGAGTTTTGTACAACGTCATCTTTGACTATAACAGCCGAATCGGGCCAAAGGTAGTGAATGCTTCTGGCAAAGTCTCTTAAATTTTTATCTTCTATAACATTCAAAAATTCAGGATCACTGTTGAAGTCTGGTGGCATCCATTTTTCTAGTCCGTTGTCTGTAGAGAAGTATTTGTCTACAAATTCTTTCAACTTATCCTTAGACAGGTCGTTGTTATTTGAGTTGAGTAATTTTCCGAAATCACTTAATGTTTTGTTTTCATCATAATTCATACGGAAATCGATGAATCCCCTCGGATCCTCATAGACCCTTTTTAGTTGGACTAACTGTAGAAGTTCGCTGTTGCAGTAAACGCGTTTACTACAGGCAGGCAGTTTATCTGCACAGTCGGCCAGCATTACTGTGGCCGCCAGTAGAAATGGGAATAACATCTGGAAGTAATGAGAACATTCATTGATTATGAAAATAAAAAATTAAAACAAATATTTGGATTGGGATGGCTCGGTGAAATATATCTACTAGTTGGCAGTTAGGCTCACTAGAATACACCGAGTGTCGTCATTTTTTGTGGCACCGTAGCCACTCCATGTGTTGTTGGGCATGCTCGTCTCACGGTACCCGTTTGCAACCAGCCTTAGTGATAATACGACTCATAGTCATATGTTAATGTATCTGCACAATTATATACGACACAAAAAACAACGAAAACTAACAGCTAAGTGTGAGTCCGTGGGACCATGGGTCCATGGGTTCTGTAGCATTATCATTAAATAGCAATAATCTATTTATAATATATCTATTTATATATTACTCTGACCAATTACCATTTCTCGTCCCGTCCCTCCCCAATCTCCCTAATCCCGTAATCCCTAACAATCCTCAAATATCTAATCCCTAAAAGGCCGGTAACGCACTTTTAACGCTTCTGGTGTTCCGGGTGTCCATGGGCGACGCCTATTGCTTACTATAAGGTGATCTGTTCGCTTGTTTACTGGCTTATCCTATAAAAAATATTTGGCTACGGAATCTTAAAAATATCTACATAGGAACAGAATATTCTTCAATATTATTTTAATTTTACTTGTTGATCCGGTTTATTTAGTGTCGTGTTGTATTCGAAGCTACACTATTTAACATTTCTAGAAAATTCTGTACATTCACATATTCTAGTACGGTACCTAATTGTAACTATTTAAAGGTAATTAAAGTGTTATTGCATAAAAACCAAGGCATATTTCTTTTTTAAGGTGGGAAAATCATCAAATGACTGCTCCCGCCGGGGTGAGGCGGGAGGAAGTGTCAGACTCTTACTGACTAAAAACCACCCCGTTCCTTCTCCTGCACGTCGAGCTGGAGCCCCGGTGAAAGTGAAAGATTTTCCGACAGTTGCCTACCATACCATACTATTAATAATGTTCATACAATCAAACATCAATCAATTTTAAGAGCCTCTCAAAAACATTGCAATGCTAACGTTTGCAAGTAGGTATGTTTAATTTGGAGATTAAGATGTATATATGTTTGTAAGTCTTTCACGAGAAAACTACTGGTGAGATTTAAATAACACTAAATTCAGAGATAGATTATAGTTTAACTAAAATATCTCATGTGATAATTGGTACCCCAGATACGTGGGCGCAGCCGCTGTTTGAAGCTAGTAATTTTAAAAATGACAGCGACATTTAGTAAAGAAGTGTATGTTTTTAATAACTTTCGTGAGACATACATAATTACCTAAAAAACTACGAGTTATTCACGTAAGATATGTCTGAGAAAAGAGACCCTTTGTGACTCAAAACTTTTTTCAGTATATATACGTAAGTACGTTACCTAAGTATTTAAATATGGCAATAGGCTCACCCTCTATTACATGGGACTCAAAACATAAATAGTGAAAAGTGGGTGTCACATTGTGCACCTCTGCCTACCCTTTCGGGGATAAAAGGCGTGATCTTATGTTACCTAACTCGTAATTTTTTAACTCAAAATTGAGTATCATTTAAGCGTAACTCTCAGGTATAAAATAAAATCATTATCTCATCAACAACATCCCGTGGGATTTCGCTGCTGGATAGACCTCCTCTACAATAGATTTTTCCATAATCTCGACACTGGCAAGCGAGTTGGAGATCGCAGTAGAAACCATTTAAATCAAATTAGAGTTGGATGCTCACTGAAAGATCTCATTGGTGGTGGCGCGTGTTTTGGATCGCTCGATTCCCTCCATATAGTTGAATTGAGCGGTACTGGTGTACGTGTCATGTTCGTGTACGGGCGCGGTCAACTGGACTGGTCAGCTCCAGACTGTATTATTTTATTGTCTTTAATGTTATTTTGTTTTTCGATCTCTTTGTCTAGATTTTGTTGTTACGTTGTTCTCACACAATTGAACCAACAAAACTATATAACTGGTTGAAAAAGAGTAACCTGTGGACTGGAGTTTCTTGCTCGTTCTTCTCCATAGGAATCTACACCTTGGAATGAGCAAATAGTTTGTTTACTTTTAAATTTTTTGTTGACGTTCAAAAGTGCCTTCCAGGTCTAATTGAAATAAATGATTTTGACTTTAACTTTGGAGCTTTATTTGCAAATTTATATATAATAATAACAGCTTACCTTATATAATTATGTGATATAATACACAAGTCACAACAGCAGCCTGGAGAGTTACTAGTAAATAAATAATAATATGCGTCTGTGTAAGCTTTTATAGTATCTACATCTACATATTCTATTAATATTATATTATGTCATATAATATATATATACAACATATAACGTAATTAACGCACACCCTCAAACACCCCAATTAGAATATTATGTTATAATCATAATACATACACTAAATGTTTAATTTAATATGTATATGCATCCTTACTGGTCTTGTCATAAGGTTTATTTTTCTTTATTTTGTATTGAATGATAGAATTTGTATGAATACAAATAAAACTGCGATTTTAAAAGTCTTATTGCTTAGACTTACGGTCCATTACGAGTTGTTTTAACAATACAGGGTTAATATGACAATAATTTCTGTAGTTTTAATTACTTTTGGGATAAAAAATTACCTATACTAAAAATTTTATAAATCGATTCAGGTAACGATTCTGAACAAACTATTTTCAGGATGTGCGTTATTTAAGTTACATGTTGTATGTTACCGGCCAAACCAAATTTCAGGACAAACTAGTTTTGCCTAAGCTAAACTAGTTCTTCCTATAAGCGTTAGGATTAACTAGTATAGCCTAGTTCAAACTAATTTATTTATTTATTTGGACATCCAGTTGTTGCTACATTTTTATCATTAACTTAAAATTAGGAATTAACATCTTACTGCTAATGCACAACATTTGAAGGACATCACAGCATGCGTTGAGTCGAGAACACTATATCAATTAAATTAAAATTTATCTAATTTCTCTACATTACCAAATTTACAATAAATAAGAATTATATAATTAGTAACAACTTTTGTTATCACTCATTATACAATAGTCAACCCTGAATACAAAAATATAAATACAAAACAAAAGAATAATCAAAGATCAAAACAAAGGACACAGTCATTAAAAGCTCAATAACAAAAAAATAACATTAAAATAAATAGATAAAATCGGTTGCGGAACAAATCAAGTCAACAGCAACATAATAAAACAAGTCAACAGCACACCACAACACTAAGCTTCATCTCTCAACAATCCCAGAACAGCTTTTTTGAATTTTGGCAATCTATCACTAAACAAATCAACCTTCTCACAGACAGAGTTATAGGCACTAGAAAGACGAGAAATGGTGGAGAACCTCTTTAGGTTGGTTCTGGCAGATGGCTGGTGTAGTAAACCCGCATTAATTAGTGCGCGCCTAGGCACACGTCGAGGTACACGCAAATTGAACAAGCCTAATAGTGGCGGACAGTCAAACTCGTTTCTTAGTACCTTGTACATGAACGTTATGTCAAGCAGTTTTCTACGAACAGTCAAGCGGTCCATACTAAAATGTCTCAGTCTTTCGCTATACGATACCAAGCTTTTGTGCAGCCCACTGGCAAATGTTAGGTGTCTTAGGAAACGTTTCTGTATGCGTTCAACTCTAACTTGATGCACATTATACTGAGGCGACCAAACCACCGAGCAATATTCCAGTTGACTTCGCACATAGCTGTTATATAAAGTAGTTTTAGTGGTTGGGCTGCGAAATAGTTTGCTGTTACGTATAATAAATCCCAGCATCTTTGATGATTTATTAATAATACTGTCAATGTGTGGCAAGAACGTCAACTTCGAATCGAAGATCACGCCCAAGTCCCTCATCTCAGCTTTCCGCTGCAATGTAGTTCCATCGACGAGGTATTGACTCTGTATCATGTTGTGGCTACGCGTGAAAGTAACTGTGTAGCACTTGTTTTTATTCAAAGACATTCTGTTTACACTGCACCAGGTGGTTATGGCATCGAGATCTGTTTGAAGTAAGTTCCTGTCTGTGTGTTCAATCAAAGTTTTGCATTTCTTTAGGTCATCTGCAAAAAGATAAGCACTACTGTGTCTAATACAAGAAACAATATCATTAATGAACAAGTTAAATAGCCAAGGACCAAGATGAGAACCCTGTGGAACACCTGAGGTAACAGCGTGGGTTCGAGATTTAAATCCCTTTACCACAACATATTGCGTCCTGCCTGATAAATACGATTGGAACCACTTTAGCAGAGAGCCATGAATACCGTAATATTCTAGTTTTGACAATAACACCCGGTGACATACCCTGTCGAATGCCTTTGCAAAATCCATATAAACAGCATCTACCTGCACCCCCGAGTCAACCGCATTAACTATTTCGTTATGGTAAGTAACCAAATTGGTAGTTGTGGACCGCGACTGGATGAAACCGTGCTGCTCGTCAACAAATAAGTTTCTAGTATAATGCTTTAGGTAAGGATAAACTAAGGCCTCAAACGACTTCGCAAATACAGACAGAATCGACATGGGTCGGTAATTTGTAATATTTTCCTTATTCCCATTTTTGTGAATAGGGACCACCTTGGCAGACTTTCAAATTCCAGGAAACATTTCCTGTACATACCCGTCAACAAGGATTTATTCACAATGAGGTAAAAGAGCAAACTTAAAGATGAGGCACATCTTGATATAAAGTATGGAGGAATGCCATCCGGACCCGCTCCCTTGTGTATGTTAAGACCCTTAAAGTGCCTGACGACCGCACCATACGCAAGTTGTATTTCAATCGCATGTCCTAAGCCCGATAGGACAAATCAGTTTAGGCTAGGACAAACTAGTTGATCCTGACATAAATACGCACACTCTAGGATAAATTAGTATGACCTAGTCATAATATGATTATTGCGTCTATTAAAAAAAAACAATGTGACTGCCTCGTTGGCTGAGTGGTCGCAGTGCGACTGAGGAATAGGAAGGAAGGAACTATAGGAAGAACTAGTTTAGCCTAGGCAAAACTAGTTTGTCCTGAAATCGGGTTTGGCCGGTAACATATATATATATATATATATACTAGCGACCCGCCCCGGCTTCGCACGGGTGCAATATGCATGTATTATACATACAAACCTTCCTTAAGAATCACTCTATCTATTAAAAAAAACCGCATCAAAATCCGTTGCGTAGTTTTAAAGATCTAAGCATACATACGGACATACAGCGAAAGCGACTTTGTTTTATACTATGTATTGATATTACGTTTATATTTTTCTGTAGGTAGCTTACATTGTTATTATGAATAAAGTTTTATTATCACTACATAGTATAAAAGAAAATCGCTATCCGCAGTCTGTCTGTTTATATGACAAAATAAAATACTTTTCTAATATTATTTCATTATTTAACATAACATAACATCACTTTTATCCCCGAAGGGTTTGGCAGAGGTGCACATTATACCACTGTACAATGTAACACTCACTTTTCACTATTTATGTTATGAGTCCCATGTAATAGGGGGTGAGCCTATTGCCATATACCGGGCACAATTCCAGAATCCGTGCTACTGCTGAGAATATTTAAAAACCTAGTAATACTTTGCCCGACCCGGGAATCGATCCCGAGACCCCTTGCCCGGCAGCCGCACTTACGACCACTCGGCCAAAGATTATTTAACTGACGGACTGAATAGACTTTTATTTTGCATAGCTCAACTAAATCGCTACATAATACAACTAACAGGATTATTAAACAAGTTTATTGAATTGGTAACAGGGTGTCAGACTACATTAGCGCCGCATATAAGTTGGTTAGTTATAACCTATTACCACAAACGACAGTGGAATTTATGATATAGCAGGTGAAAAAATGGGTGTTACGTTTATTTCTGGATCTATCCTAGCGCCGTATCTACCGTATCAATTATATGGGGACCCTGGACCACAGGGTCCCCCAACTAGGGTTGCCACCCGTAGTTTATAATAAAGTATTGTACGTTATTTAAGGTAATTGTACTCTATACTTTATTATAATAATAAAGTACACGAAAATACTTTATTTTTGCAAACTTCATTTCTATTATAGTCGTAAGTATTTTTCGGTAAACTTATCCATTCGATATCGATTTATATTGAATCGATTTCGCCACTCGCCAGCGCCACTTAGAAATTTCCTAGTAAAGATGCAATTGTTGGATGCAATGTACTTTAAATACCAAAAAAAAGGTGGTAACCCTACCCCCAACCTAACGTGTGTAAGAAAAATAAGTATAAAAACTTTTCAATTTATATTTTATTTTAGTAATCACAAAATACATGCGTTTAAAGGTTGGCAGAGACCATGGAATAGAAAAATCTTTTCCATGGCAGAAGTTTTGGAAAACTAAAGTACCTAATCATTGTCCGATAATTTGGGCAGAGGAGGTAGGTACCTATTTTATGTAAAAAAAAAATCTTCGAAAAAATTTTTACCTTTCATAAGGGCCCCCAAACAAATTTTTATACGGAGACCCGTCAAGCTACGCTACGCCACTGGGTGGCCACTACTGACCACATGCCGCTTCTGGTCAGGTATGAGCATTAATTGCCACGCTAGCCCAATGCGGTATTTACAACTAGTCAAATTCAATAATCTTTTTTCGAGCTGTCAAAACTGTTGGTGACTGCACGGTTGGTGCGGTGGCTGGGCAACCGGCTGCCGTGCAACATGTCGCGAGTTCGATTCCCGTACGGAGCCACACTTTGTGTGATCCACAAATTGTTGTTCCGGGTCTGGGTGTCATGTGTATGTGAACTTGTATGTTTGTAAACGCACCCACGACACAGGAGATTACCTTAGCGTGGAGCAACGTTTAAAAAAAAACTATAGTTTCAATGAATTCTGTACAAAATTTTGAATTGTAAACTTGTGACGTCACTTTTTTGAGCGTCAAACAACGTACTTATTTGCTCGAAAAATATTAAAATTAAGTTGGTCATGCAATCAGTTAATGAAAGTGTATTTTTTTTTAATTTTATTGTATTAAACAGTCGACTTAATTTATTTTCGATTGAAACAATTTCAAACTTATAATAAATTATTACCCCGGTGTACTCACGACGTTTTGATTCACCGTTTATTTGACAGTGGTGTTCTAAATGATCTTGGAAAGTAGTATTACACATAACTCGGAAATAGTTACATTGGTATTTGCCGTTGGTAAGTTTCAAGTACGCACCCTCCTCATGCAAGAGAGTGCAAGTGCCTTAAATCTCCGGGCTGCCACGACCTAAAAAATCTTTAGGGAATAAAATGTGCAAGTTGTTTTTTCAGTACTTAACTAACTGTTGCCCGCGAGTTAGTCCGCGTAAAATATGAATTTTTAGACATAACTTTCTTTTAATGTTTCAATTTTCCAAAATATGCCACTTCTTAGTACATTAGCTACCGCCAATAAAGTCCCGTCACCATCAGTTCAGCCATTCCAGAGATTAGTCAGTACAAACAGATGGACAAAAATTAAAAAAAAAAATGCTATTTCGTATGTGTACTTTTTATTTATTTATTTATTTCTTCTTCACAACACATAATAGTGAATGGCGGACTTAATGCCTTAAGGCATTCTCTTACAGTCAACTATAGTGTATCGTATGTAAGTATATTCATGTACATACAGTCAAAAGCTGTTATTTTGATATAACAAACAGGCACTTTAATGTCATTTATCTTTATGTAGGTATAGAATAATCAATTGCCTCTTTGCCAAATAGTGGCAATACTTTTACTTTTACTGTTACCTGCTTTAATTAACAAAACTCTCTTAAATTTTAAGAATACTCTAAGCTAATAAAGGTGATATTTAACAACATTTTGGTTTTCACCAAACTCTAACCTACTACTGTAATTATAGTAATGATTACTATAGTAATTATAAAAAGTAAAGTACCTAAGGGGTTAGTTTAGACCATGTTTAGTTTTAGTTTTGTTGTCTCACAAATAAATAACCCTTAGTTAAGAGATAGTTAGGGTGGTTGCTGAAAAATGGTTCATTATGGGTCGACGTGCTCCATCTTAGACCGCATCATCATCGCTTAGGGCGGCACCAGGCGGGATAGTGATCAAACATGGGCCCATCAAATATACAAAAATGGCCATCTTTTGGACAAATTTTAGACGTTTATTAATGTACACCGCGACATCTATTTCATTTTCTTCCCGCGGCAAAACGAATTGCCATAAGTAGTACTTGGCTTAGGTATAAAGTAAAAACAAAAGAGTATAGATGTCATTTTTTGTATTTTGAAAGAAAATTTCGTGTAGGTAAATACGCGCATGAAACACTATACTCGGAATTTTAATTCGATTCCAGATTTGACAATTTCAGTGTTGCAACGTTATGACAAGTACTAAATAGTGACGTTGCGAAATTATTCGATATGGAAATGGAATATTTCTGGATCGATTCTTCTCGTTTATAATTTTACTCCCGTAAACTAAGTATATCAGGAAATTAAATATTTCTGAACGATAATTTACTTTTGACGATTAATTAACGATCTAAGACTTTTCTTTTATAATTGTGTGTGAAATAAATAAAAAAATTTAATCATAAAGGAACATGACAAATAAAACAGATAGATGTATTATGGTAATAAGTTATTTTATAAATTGTCGCCGTCATCGCTATCGCTATCCTGTCACTTTCTGTAACATTTATTATAAAACACACACACTTATTGTTTATCGATTTTTGTGTTCATCACTATACTATAATATGTGGTATCATTATTTCACAAAATGACAGTAGCTATTGTCAAATCTGGAATCTAATTAAAATTCTGACTATAGACGTAAATTTGTAGGCACTATGTGCATTGCACGTGTCAATAGACGAGAAATTCTTCTTCAAGAATTACATGGCTTGATGTTTTGATACTGTAAGTAGGTAATATGAGTTCTAAGACAGAATCATTTACTGCGGGACGAAACGAAATAGATTTCACGGTGTAATGTTCCTTATTTGTGCACTATAGGTAAAGGGATAGAATTTCAAGCAAATAAAACTCACACATACATTAGACACAGCCTTTATATAACACATTGGTCTAGTATTATTATTTTAACAAACAGTAATATCTATCAACAGGCATAATTAACTTAAACAATATTATTATTATTTATAGGATGGTGTTGATATGACAGCCGTATAATATATTTCAAAGTGAAGGGACCTGCCTTGTCAAAGAATAAAACACTTTAACAACAAAGTATTAGGTACATTGTTCTCTGTCATATAACTGCGAACTGGTAACCATAAATGGTTTATTAGGTAGGTATATCTCGTAGCCATAACTCCCCATAAAATAATATGCCATAGGTTCGTTAGACAAATGCTATTTTAACTTTAGTCAAACTACAAAGGTCGTTAATATTGGTATACGCGAGTACGTACGCCCTGATTGGTTGATTCATTGGAGAAAGCCAATCTGAGGGCTTTGTACGAGTATGCTTTACGTTTAAAGTTTAAGTGAGGCGGGAGGGAGTGTCAGACTCTTACTGACTAAAAACCACCGTTCCTTCTCCTGCACGTCGAGCCGGAGCCCCGGTTACCCGTTAGGTTCTCCGCGACAAATTTATCTTGGCTTAGGGGTTCCTTCAAATTCAGGAGAGTTTAGTGAAAACGTTTATGAATATGTATTTAGGTACTTGGTATTAGTTTTGACATAATTTGTCGAATTTCAATTCAACTAGCATTAAAATGTCATATGCCTAGGGGAATATAGGGACAAGTTATGAAAGACCAGTATAAATTGACTGTTGAATGTTTGTGGGGATTATACAATAATAAACTGGTTTCATATGATTCCATAAGTATATAGCAGACTGGCCGTGTACCAATCTGCTACCATCATTTGCCTAAACGCTAGCACAAGCACCATCAAAAAAATTGAGTGAAATACAACTGATTTAAAAAAAACTTACGGCACAATAAAAATTAAATCAACAGAATTATAATCAAAAGGTATGTAAACATTTACAATAAATTATTATGATTTTAATCAGAAACGGATATACTTATATACCGTGAAATCTATTTCGTTTTCGTCCTGCGGCAAAACAACTTGCCTTAACTTGACTTGTGATACATGAAGTAAAAAGTAAAATATATAGGTAAGTTAGATGTCATTTTTTGTACTTTAAAAGAAAATTTCGTAGAAATACGCACATGAAACACTAGACGTTTTGTAGGCCCTATTCGCATCGCATGTGTCAATAGACGAGAAATTCCTCTTCGAGAATTACATGGCGTGATGTATTGGTAATGTACTATGAGTTCGTATGTGCTTCCGAAGTTTGCTTTTTGCAACAGTTCACCAGTTATTTTTGTTTTAAGCACTTTATTTGTTTGTAAAACTATTGCATTACCAAGACAGAACCATTTTACTTCGGGGTGAACATGAAATAGACTTAACGGTGTAGTTATTAACAAAGAATATACAATGATATATAATGATATCAACTACATATTTTACTTAATCTAGAAACTACAAACTTTCAGTTGGTCAAGTTTATTGATGAATTAAAGTTAATGATTACCAACGAAGATTGTACTCTAATCATTTTTTTTATTGCCTTTATCGTCCACAGGTGGCGTTCGTGTGGAATAAGATCGTCCTAACTTGAATTTCGCAGTTTTATTACATTTCGAATTATAGTCTCAACAGTTTTTCTACATTCATTTATAATCATGTTCCATAAGACCTACAAGTAAGTACAAAGATATAACTGAAAGTTACCTAGCAAAGTTAAAATCACTATTAAATACATTTAGTTTAAGTACTTAATTTAATAACATAATATTAATGTAATAATATTCTTATATCTACATTGGTAACGGTTTCACATATAGGGTAAACTAAGTAGGTAAGGACTTATGAAACCTACTTACAAACATATTGTTTCATTAAAATAAATTAATAAATGCCTATTTATAAACTTGTAAATTGTCTAACAATTAATACAAAATAGGTAACACATTTATGTATAATATTGTACCCTGATATACCTTTAAGGTACCTAAGGAACTTCGCTCGAAGACCCTAAATATTACTGTATTAACCCCAGGCCCCACAGGCCAACAATAGGGATGATGACAGAGTATGAAAATTAAAAATGTATTTAGTCCGTCAGTTAGGTAATGAAAAAATATTAGACACGTATTTTTTTATTTTGTCGTATAAGAAAACCATAATTAGATAAAACGAATCAAAGCATAACAGAGCGAGGTATCTACGTCATTTTAGAGTATAAATATTGTAATCAAAAGTGACGTCATGCGATATTTCATATCAATATATCTTCGAAACTATTCGTTTCCGTAAAAAAATAAAAAATACGTGTCTAATGTTTTTAAATAATCTATCAGACGGACATTAAAATAAAAGATAATCATCTACCCTATTCAAACAAAATGGCGGCCACAGCCACAGGTTAACAAAATTATTTTGCGTTTCTGAAGCAATATTTTTGCTATAGTCAATGAATATAATTATTATGGTTAGTGTGCCAATAAAACACACCAACTGACTTCACATTAAGAAATTTTATGTTTAGGAATCTTTGATATTACTGTGTGTAATTTTATTCAGATTTGTCGCTAAAAAATTAAACGTCACAAACTCTTACTTATGAATTGAATATTGTTGTACCATTTTTGTTTGTTTTAGACATTTTATGTCCTTATGGCACTTTCTTAGCTAATTATTATGTATGTAGTCACAACCTTCAGTTATTATGAATATCAAAAAATATTTTGAATGCTGATAGAAAGATTAAAAAGTTATTTACTACACCCACGCCTAGTCATGCGGTATTATTCGAAGTATCGCTATTGTTGGAGGGAGATGCAGTAGTAGCTAAGTCATTAGAGTCGTCTGCAGTCAAACCTTCTCCATATTTCTTCATAAACTCTAACACTGCACCGTTGCTCCATCCGAAACCAAATTGCACGTTATATTCGCCACCTCCTCCGAACTTGCCAGGATTCTCTGCATCGTACTTCTCAAACATCTGTTTGTATTCTAAGAAGCCCCAATGGCAAGACCTAACAAATGTTTGTGCAGTTTCAAAAGCCAGCACACTCGCCTCAGGTGTTCCAATGTTTTCAATGGCGTTTACTACAATACTCACTTCTGGTGGCCATACGTTAGGGAAGTCCCATTGCTCTCCACTTCTGATGAGGGATGTGGGGACTCCTCCGGGGAAGTCTAAACCGCCAGATTGTTTAAGATTGTTCAGAATTCTGTCTGCATTTGCTTTCACTATATTCGGATCAACAGCATGTTGCCACAACGGAGAGACGTTAGATGAGTAAAAATATTTGCGATGTAACTTGTCTCTGATATCATAATCATACCACATTCCCTCTTCTTCATTCCACAAAATCGACTGAATGGCATCTCTCCACTGTTGAGCCAATTGGCCATACGTGGCAGCTTTGCGAGGGTTCATCAAAATGGCGTTAAAGTTTGCCACGTTCTGGAGAGCACCGGCAAATATGGCATTTAGATCCACAGGTATGACGTATCTGGTGTGAATGTCTTTTAAGGTTCCGTTGTTGCTGCCATCATTGTTGACGAACCACCGCGTTGAGAAGTCCCAACCACTCTCAGCTGCACTCTTAATATCGATATAGAAGTCTGTGCGACGTTGTTCACTGAATTCTACTGCGTTTTCATAATCTTCATAATACGATTCAGGTCTTGGACCCGAGCTGAGAGCGAAATATCTGAGCAGTTTGTGGCTACTTCCTTCTTTTTCAACGGTTACTGATCTTTCATCCAGCCAGAAGTCCATTTCCTTCTCTAAAGATGCAATATTGGCCCTCAGGAACTCTGTGTCATTGGTGTATTGGTAGTAAGTAGCAACCATAGCTGTCAACATTGGCGGTTGACTGCGTTCTTGATAATACCATCTGCTGCCATTGGGAATATGACCAAAGAAATTCAAAAGTTCTATGAGATTTTCAATAATTCCTTTAGCGGTTTCTTGCATTCCACTTATCAATAGACCTTCGATAATCCAGTAAGTATCCCAGTAATAGATCTCCGTGAATCGTCCTCCAGGGATGATGAATCCATGAGTAATAGGGACCAAACTATAACGATCAGGGTTTTGAATCACCTTATCTTTAACTTTTCGGGCAAGAAGAGGCCAAATGTTATTGATGTTTTTGGCGAATTCTCTTAAGGCTTTATCTTTTATAGTGTATACAAACTTGGGATCAGAATTGAAATCGGGTGGTGTCCACTCTTCGAGTTCGCCTTCATCAGAGAAGTATTTGTTAACGAATTCTCTCAATTGTTCTCTTGACGGATCTTGATTCGTATCGTTGAGTAGAGTTTCAAAATCATGTAATGTTTGATTTTGGTCATAATTCATTTGAAGATCGACGAAGGTTTTGGAGTCGTTGTAGAGCCTGGCCATTTGGACTCGATGGAGGAGTTCACTTTCGCAGTAGACGGGCTTGCTGCAACTGGGACGTAGGTCAGCAGCACTGGCCAGCGCAACGGCCGCCACCAGGAGAATCAGGAGTTCCCGCATCTGAAAATATTTAATTAATATTAAATAAAATTGCACGGTTCGGTTTTGCTCTCAGAAATCGGTTCTATTTTAAGTAGTTTTAGCGGTGTGGCAATTATGAATATTATTTAGTAAAACCATTTCTTTGTTTTTTTATGCTTCTTTGCATTGAAAATTGAGGAATGTCCTCGATTTTCAATGTTCTTTCTTAAGAAAAAGACATCGGTATGTAGTTCGAGGTTTTACACTATTGTACACATTGTAGTTATGATTGGAGGTAAATAGTATAGGTATCTACTTGTACATAGTAGGTACCTACAGTGTGTACAATATGTGAAATCGTTTACCACAGTTGTCTCACCGTGACGACCTTATGATTACAAATTATCCAAACGATTAATTCTGTTAACAACTTGAGTAAGTCTTCGCATTGAAGTCATTATATATTTTTCTAGAATTTCTATAAAAACAATTCTGAGGCCTTAGTACGACTTTTATTTACTTTTACAGTATTCGAAACGAGTGCGCGTTCTGCGCTCTGATTGGCCGGCTCGAATGAACCAACCAATCAGAGCGCCGAACGCGTACTAGTTTCGAATGCTTTAAACGTAAAACAAACTCGTACTAAGGCCTCTGAACCATGTTAAACTGATTATCGAGTACAATGTACCTAAAACAAAAAACTCGACTTTATTTGTCGTATAATAAACAAGTTTAACACATAGGCATAGACTATTAATTTATATCGCAAACACGACCGCCATGTTGGATTTATGTAAAAAGTTTAACTTGAGCAAATTTTTGTGGCCATGAACCGTTGTTGTTCTGCCAATTTGCAAACATGGTTACGTTAGTTGGTATTTTATTAACACATATAGTGTAATAGCATTTTTTTAAACACCTTGACTTTCTGATTCATTATAATATACAAAGAATACATTATTCATCATATTCATATAATGTCATTGATTAATTACTTATTGCAATAATTTGTAAGCATGCAACGAACTAACAATAAAATATCATAACATCACGCCTTTTATCTCCGAATGGGTAGCAATGTAGGTACATTACGGCACTTAATGCCACTGTACAATATAACATCTACTTTTCACTATTTATGTTACGAGTTACATGTAATGGGGGGTGAGCCTATTGCCATATACCGGGCACATTTCCAGACTCCGTGCTACTACTTCATTAAAAAAAACAATTATACATTATCCGACCCGGGAATCGAATCCGAGACCCCTTGCCCGGCAGTCGCACTTGCGACCACTCGGCCAACGAGGCAGACGTATATTTTATTAAAAACATAATTATTATGTATGTACTTTGACATCACTACGCGTTACAACTGTCTTCGGAAAGGCTAAGAACTTTATGACTAAACTAGAAGCTACAATAATATGAAGAAAATAGAAATAGAAAGTATGAAGAGACAACATAACGTTGTTTATTGTATGAACTGTGCAAATAGGTGCTGTTTTCGAAGCTGACACTTACTAATTACTCATAACACCGTCGCGTCGCTTTCATAACTCATCTCAACTCATTATATACACACGGCCACACATCAATCTATACAAAACCAGTTTATCCTGGTGTCGCGTCGCATCATCTATCCGCACATTTAACGTTCAGTTTATACTGGTTAAGTAAAGCTCGATGTGTAGCCGTGTACATTCGAAACGTCGCATTGTTTCAAGATCTTCAAATTGATTTGTGGTCTTCCTAGAATAATTAAATTTGTCTTTTCAATCATTAGACTCATACACGTTTACACTAATCACCTCCAAACTGTCACTTAGCTTTTTTTGAGGGAAGAAAATCGTCCAATGACTTCTCCCGCCCGGGAGAGGCGAGAGGGAATGTCAGACTCTTACTGACTAAAAACCACCCCGTTCCTACTTTTGCACTTCGAGCCGGAGCCCCGGCAACCCGTTAAGTCTTCCGCGGCTCAATCTGTCACTTAACCTGGTGTAGCACCTTAACTAACCCCTTACTTGTACTATTAGGTGGCACTTTAAGGTGGTTGAAAACCTTAATGATGTTAAATCTCACCTATCCTAGCTTAGAGATATTTTAAAATGTAAGAGAAGTTGATAAAAATGGCCACTGGACTTCTAATAGACTAACCAGAGGCCTTAGTATGAATTCGTTTTACGTTTAAAGTAATCGTAACGAGTACGCGCTCTGATTGGTTGGTTTATTGGCGCCGGCCAATCAGAGGCCTTAGTACGAGTTTGATTTACGATTAACGTATTCGAAACGAGTACGGGTTCGGCGCTGTGATTGGTGGGTGGCAATGAACCAACCAATCAAAGCGCCGAACGCGTACTCGTTTTGATTATTTTAAAACAAACTTGTACTAAGTCCTCTGATCGGTTGGGTATGGGATACATTTGTTGAATACAAACTTTAAACAAATAAACGTAAGAAGTGACACCACAACACAACAATGAGACTACTTTTACTTTTATTGACAAACAAAGCGATCAGTAAACTGTGACTACTATGTATTAGATAATTGCGTAATTCTGTATCTAGTTCAACAGCTCTAATGATCTAACTTGCTTATTGAGACGAATGAAAGTGAAACGTCAACACGACAACTGCAGCCCTTCCAAAGTCACTTTTGCAACTGTTTCCGACCGAGACACTTCTTTAGGTACGGATATGATTGGTTTACCGTGGAATTAAATCCCTAATCTAACCTAATCCCTAATCTAACCTAATATAAGTTTATATAGGGATTTATTTTATGTAAGTCTATACTATCCTTTTTTATGTATTTCTGTTTAGTCCTAAATACGCTTGCTTCTTGCATCGACCATTGTTTTTGTCTCTGCATCACCCAAAGGTCTGGCTGGAGGAGAATGCCCTAGGCATTAAGCCCACCTTGTACATAAGTTTGTGCATGAAGTCTTTTAAAATAAAAAAATAAAAATCCAAAATCTCGAGATCCACCTATTGACAGAAATTCAAGAGAATGCGTACAAGATTTTGGATATTGATATCAGTGATTAATTTCAGCTGTTAACCCTATTATCTACCTATACATTTTTTGTGGAATTTTCCGGTAAACTAGCTGAAGGATCACCTGGTGGTAAGCAATCGGCGTCGCCCATGGACACCCGAAATACCAGAGGTGTTACAAGTGCGTTAACGGCCTTTTGAGGATTATTGGGGATTCGAGGATTGGGGAGATTGGGAAGGTAATTGGGCCTCCGGCAACCTCATTCACACAACGAAAGCGTTGCTTCACGTCGGTTATCTGTGAGGCCGTGGTATCACTCCGGTCAAGCCGCCCCATTCATGCCGAAGCATTTTCTTTTACGTGATACAAATGTGTGGATTTTATCGTCATCTATAAGTCACGTGGCCACAGAAACCAAGCTCCATGTATTTGTTTCTTTTTCTAAAGTCCTAACGGATATAATAATTAAATATTATTAGTATTACACATAGTACCTGTATATATATATATATATATATATAAGCGCTATGTATGTATAATTAACTTGACTGAAACTGTTAGGTATAATAAAGAAGAATATTAAATAATCTTGTTTTTACTCTTTTAATTTTGTTATTATTGTTTTGTATTATATAAGTATCTTATTTATTATTTTTGTATACGTTTTTTATGGCATAAGCCGGTAAATGAGCAGACGGATCACCTGATGGTAAGCAATCGGCGTCGCCCATGGACACTTGGAACACCAGAGGCGTTACAAGTGCGTTACCGGCCTTTTGGGGATTAGGAGTCTGAGGATCGTTGGGGACTCAGGGATCGGGGAAGGGGAGGGTAATTGGGCCTCCGGTAACCTCATTTACACAACGAAAGCGTTGCTTCACGTCGGTTTTCTGTGAGGCCGTGGCATCACTCCGGTCGAGCCGGACCATTCGTGCCGAAGCATGGCTCTCCCACACTTAAAACGTTTGCGTGCTTACTGTCGAATAAATGATACCTTTCTTACAAAGATACCTTTTATTTATACTTTTTGAAGATAGTAGGTACCTATACCTAATATATAATAAGGAATGACATCAGTAGATAAAGACATATGGCCATTTCGGTGGCTACACAAATACTATACACCTGTACACACATTGTTGTTGTTATACACTTTTGAACTATGTGCTTATAGTACCTACTACAAGCAGAACAAATACAGTTACATATAAAATCAGAAATTCATTCTACACGTCTTATCATGATTGTATAATTCTCTACTATCAGCGTAAATAATTGGATCACATGTTTCTGTATTATTTTTATATTTGACACACGTTTATGGAGTATTTCGAAGTAAGTTTATAATTTCAAAGCAATAACTTCATTTTGTGACCAATTAATCTGAATTGGAAATAAAACAAATACATACCTAATTACAAAGTTTGCGAATTGTGCCCAGTGCCTTTAGCCAAACGCCACTTTAGCGCTTATCTACAGAGAGAGTAGAAATCAAAATTTATGGGGATAACACTCACAAGTGTCAAAATTTACATCAATTTCATATAAATTAAGTAAAAACGCGGGTTACTCACGTGAATATACTGAGAAAAGCTTTACTAGTTTCGAACAACAGAGGGGTTCTTCCTCATGAGCAGCGTAACCCGCGTTTTTACTTAATTTAGTATGTCTCACGATAGTTATTATAAAAACAATTCCATATAATTTGGTTTTCTATTCTACATCTAGACAAGCACTATATGGAATTTGGCTACAGCTGCTAATATGGGAACTATCTTTTTCCACGTGACTTCTAACTTAACTGACAAAAGGTTAATGTTATACTTTTTTGTGGAGAGAAAATCATCCAATAACTTCTCCTGCCTCGGGTGAGGCGAGGCGGAGTGTCAGACTCCTACTGACTAAGAACCACTCTGTTCCTACTTCTGCTTTTAGCCAGAGATGCAGTAACCCGCTTGGCCGTACGCAGCTCCGGTATATACTTATATAGGAAGCAAAGTCCCTTTTATCAAATGATTTTCTACTTATCTAGTAAAAAGTA